AGGAGGTCCCGCTCAAGGAGGTCCCGCCCAAGGAGGGTGGAACAGCCGGTCCAACGTCGGCGGTGGAGCTCCACCTCCCAGGAATCAGAACCAAAGTTCGGGCTGGACATCCGGCCCGATTCCCGAAGTCCCCGGAGCCGCGGTGGACTCCCTGGAGCCCAGCGGCTGGGAAGAGCCCTCCCCTCAGTCCATCAGCCGCAAGATGGAGATCGACGACGGCACGTCAGCCTGGGGAGACCCGACCCGCTACAAAAGCAAGAATGTGAATCTGTGGGACAAAAAGAATGCTACGCCTGGTCAGCAGGCCCCCCCACCATCCATCCAACAACAACAACAACAACAACAACAACCACCACCACCCAGAAGGCAGCAGGGGATGCAGCACAGCAGGGACGTAAACCCTGGCAATACTGCAGCAGGTAACAACAACATGAACTATTACCAACCAAAACCAAAGTATCATCAGAAGAACACATTTAAATAGCTATCTTTCTTCTGTATACAGTTGTTTGTAAAAAAAAAAACGTTCACTTGTTGTCAAAAGCAACGTAATAAATACACTGAATAGATATATACTATAAGGCTAATAGATGGAAGATTGATAACAAAATAACTAATCAACATAACATGGGTGATTGACCAACACGTCTCTTTATCTCACAAATGCTGAACGTGATTAAAACTAGTCCTTACATAGTCACGGCACAGTGTTAGTAGACAACATTAGCTTGCTATCAAGTCAGCTCGTTTACCCCTATTCTTAAAGGGGACCTATCATGAAAAATGCACTTTTGTACGTCTTTTATACATGAACATGTGTTTCAGGGAACTCACCAAGTGTCAGAAAATACAACCCTCTCTCTTTTCCTCCATACCCAAATCTCTAAAAAAAAGGGGCTGCAACAGATTTGATACATGTGGATTCTGATTTGCACCTCTATGATGTCACAGAGGTGCACTCCGCCTGTATGGTCAACTCTCCACCTATCAGGGGAATGAGAGGTTGCCGTAGCATGGCAACAGCATAGCAACAGCATGGCAATAGCATAGTAACATGACGCTTGTGCCGCGGGGGTCAGCTTCAGCTCATGCAAAGACAGAGCTGTAGTGAGGCAAAATGAGGCATGGCTAAAATGTATGATCTGTTTGGTATTTTGAAAAATAAAACTTATAAATATAGGTATGACCCTACAATATATTATTCAAATATAGCATGATAGGTCCCCTTTAATGTGTCTCTAATTTCCCCAATCTCCAGGTCCAGGCATGTGGGGAGGAGGTTCACAGTCTGCGGATAACGGTGCGAATACCTGGGGTCAGTCGTCGGATGCATCGTCGGGCTGGGGGGAACCAGAGGAACCCAGCAAATCTTCTGGCTGGGGGAACCCTTCACCTAACCCTGGCAAACCTGGTAAGAAGTGAAAAAAATTATCGTTTTTGAGACGGGATGCTCAAATTAATAAAGTATTTTTTAAATTAATCATGGTTTCAGCATTTTAAAACCACAACATTTCACAATCTAGCAATGACTGCCGACAGTGTTTTTACCATCTGATTTGGTTTTTCCTCAGGCAACAAGTCCATGGAGGGCTGGGGAGGGAAGGGAGAGAGCTCTGTTGCAGCTTCCCGTCACCCCAGCTGGGACGAGGAGGACGATGGAGGGGGAGGAGTCTGGAACAGCAGCGGCTCCCAAGGGAACAACTCCTCCTATAACTCTGGAGGCTGGGGTCAGAGTCACGGAGGAAAGAGGGGCAACATGAAGGTAGGGGAAAAGGAGACTTGAGGGAAAACGCACAAACAAGTTTACGTGGTTTGGTTCATTGTATTAGGACAAATATGATTACCTTTATTTAAAGGTGGGGTAAGTAATTCACTTCAGAAACACTAATTGTTATATTCCATGGAATGCTCTTAACATCCCGATAGCAATGAATATATTAAATGCTTTGACAATAAATACATAAAAAATGTCATCTGTGGAAGCCGTGGCGCTGTAAAAAGCATGACCAATCATCTGAGCCGGCCCGGCTAAAATAACTGGATGGCCTACCTGCCTGTCAGCCTTCCATCTGTGCACAAACTTATCTCGTGCCCTCATTGGTCATGTGCGCGTTCGTGTGTGTTGGAGGAGGGGCTCTGTAAGGAAGTCTGAAGGAAGGGGCAGATTTTTTCCGGTTGTGTATTTTCAAATTCTAGCGCACTCAAGCTTGTTTCTCCATTCTTACCTACCCCACCTTTAAGTGATCTTCTTCAGATTAGATTAGATATACTTAATTCATCCCAAATTGGGAGATTGTTTTGTCAGCGCAGGAGAAAGTAAACAGGTTTCACATAATACCTTTTTGACTGAGAGTAACATGTGAATTTATTTTCTCCTACAGAGCGGAGGAGGGGACAGCTGGATGAACCCAGTGTCACGTCAGTTTTCAAACATGGGTCTTATGGTAAGATCTTACTCATCTTGAAGAACTCACTTTTTAGTGCTTAATCATTTGTAATTTTTGAGTGCATACCAACACAAAAGCAAACAATGGGGCACTTTCAACCTTGCAACAACAGCACACCATTTTTCAAGCAAGCCAATCAGAGCAGACAAAAAAACTGGCGCTAAAACACACCGTTTCAAAAAGAGGGTGACTCAATAAGTCAATGCAAATACACGTATACTAGTCGAAACCTAAAGTACAATGAATAAACTGAAAATGATATTTACCCTTTTATACATCCATTTATTGAAAACAGCAATTCTGTCTTGACATTTCACCTAAATATATTTTCTGTCATCCTGCTGCGTTTTCAGTGAGGTCTCTGCTTCTGTCCCACGAACCAGTATGTTTACCACTTTGTTGTTTCTCAGGGTGATGACCCAAGTCTGGACAAAAAGATGGAAGGAGACAAGAGAGGAATGACTGATTACAACGGAGAGATGCGGAGGGGAGGAAGAGGAGGAGGAGGCTACCGCATGCCTAGTTCCAAAGACATGGGTCCCGTTGACATGGGGCCCTATGGTGAAAAGGTAAGCGTGCTATATGAGTGGGACCTGGAGGATTTAAGTGAAGACATTACTATGACACAAGCTACATTCATTTTTGTGTTTACATTGCCCTCCAGATGGGTGGCCATGGGGGGTATGTCGGCAGCGGCGGGGGGATGCCTCCACCTCGAGGGATGCACCAGCCTGGCATGCATCCCATGAACCCCTCCCAGGGTTTACGTGCTCAAGTGCCTCATCAGTACCTGTCTGCTCAGGTTCGTTGTTTCTGATTTCATTGGTTGTGATGAAAAAAGATTTAGGATTGAATGACGGTCTCCTAGGACTGCACGATTTGTGGAAATAATCTAATTGCTATTTTTCTGACAGATATTGCGATTCGATTTGCGATATTTGTTTTTAAGCGACCCAACTGAAGTTTATTGTAAAATGCGGCCATATCTCCGGCTAGGAATGTCGTTTCAACGTGCTCCCGTCTCTTGCTAGAGACGGGAGCACGTTGAAACGACATTCCTAGCCGGAGATATGGCCGCATTTTACAATAAACTTCAGTTGGGTCGCTTAAAAACAAATATCGCAAATCGNAGTAAAGCAAGTTCATAATTAGATAGACATTGTGAGGTATTTATTTTCGGTACAGTTTATGTTGAAACCGTTAGAGAGAGTGGCACACTTGTTAGCCTGTTCCATTCTTCTTCGTTTTCCGAAGCCGTGGCTTGGAAGTATACTTGCTTCGTTTCTGAAGGAAGTGACTTGGAAGTACGCGACTACCAAGTCAGCATCCTCGAGATTGAGAAACGGCCTGAGTTTCAATGGATGTTTCCTTCTGCACTTTTTCTCTCACGACAACAGGGCATGTTTGGTGAGGGAAATAATATTGAAGCTGTTGTTGGCCTGTGGAAAAATGTACTCATAAGAAATGACTTCGGGAAAGCTGCAGATAGAGCCATAAGAAATGAATGCAACTGATTATTTAATGTTTCATGTTGTTTTTATAGGCAATAATTTAAGCTGTGTTAGTTCCAGGTTTAATATGTGCAATAAGTTCATTTCAATAAGTTCTGCAATAAACATTGAACCAGTCCGGCCCTCGACTAGTACCCATTTTTAAATGTTGGCCGAGTGTGTATTTGAGTTTGACACCCCTGCGCTAACTAGTCAAAGGTAATGTAATGTTCAAAGACTTTGCCCTCCAGTATAATCTTTTATGAGAAAGCCACCACCAGTTTATACATATTCAAAGTTAGTGTGGTGAAAGGCAGTTCATCTTTTACAATAGAAATGTATCTGTATCCATGGCCAAAAAGGGGAAACATTTACTGAAAAAAAACACGATATTGGCTGGAAATAATGCAACCGGTGCATCCCTATATGACAGTGTATGATAGGGTGTAGAACATGGTGGTGCTCACCTGCTGGGGGTCAGGCTGCTGCCGGAGAGGCTGAGGCTGGGGCTGGGGGAACTTCCTCTGGTTCTGCAGGAGCTGCTGCTGCTGCTGCTGCTGCTGTTGCTGTTGGAGCAGGAGCTGACAAGCCTGATGTTAGACATGTTTAGAGATGGAAGTAAACAAAGAGGCGCTCACATACACACACTGAGTCATTAGAGGGTGGGTTTATTACAAGTGTGATGAAGCATTACATGAATTAGCAATCTACGGATCTGTCACATACCAGATGGAACTGCTGCATGTGGGGGTAAATGTTGCCGAGCATTGCTAGCTGCTGCGGGGAAATCTGGGGAGGGAACCCTCCTCCGCCAACACCGCCGACCCCTCCGACACTTCCCACGCCTCCGACACCTCCTACTCCTCCAACCGCGCTGCCACCAGGAGAGGGCATCTGCTTCAGCATGGGACCCGGCACCTGCAGGTCACAGGAAGGAAGTTCTTAATCTACAGACACTTGGTGGAGGATTTATGAGGACAATCTATTTATGGAGATCTGACAAAATACCTTTTTATCTACAGTTCAAATGTGTGAAAGTGGCATCAAAACTATTGACTGGAAGAAATAACCCGTCACACTGTGCAGTCTAGGTGGAGATAAGTGCTCTGAACATGAATGAAGTTCTAAATATATACTTCTCTCGTATATATATATATCTATTCATATTTTTCTAGTATTTATATGTGTTGATATGAATGATTTTGAAGTACTGCAAAATCACAGACCTGTGTTTTTTTAGTTATCTTTACATTGTGTTAATGGTTTCTTTTTGGAAGACTACTGGATGGTTTAATAATGTCCTGATTTAAAATAAAAAAACATCTCACATAAAAATGAAAAGAAGTTAATGTCTTGACACTGTGTTGATCACCACTTTATTGCCAGACAAGGTAATAAATAGCAATGCGATCCGGCAGTAATACTAGCATTATTAAATTAGTAATGAAACTTGTAACAGTGGCAGGAGTAGGGATGAACGATTCATCGATTTTAAATCGCAAAGCCTGCGAGTTTTCCTTGTTTTTTTCTTCTTGTGTGTCAGTCATCCACACCAATCAGAAGTGCTGTGCTCCACATGTACCAGCCATTGTTAACCAATCAGAAGTGGCCCATGATAGAAGGTGATAGACAGATTGATCCAATAACCTGCCAAGTATTTTTGAAACACTTTTCCAAATGGCTTCCAATGGAGCTCTCCTAGATGGTTTGGTGAAACCATCTGAGTCAGGTTAGTAATGCTCCATCACATGTTTCTATTACAGGGTGAATCTTAAACTGAAGCTTGACTTTAAAGCAACCCAACGGGAGTTTCATGTAAGTTTAGTTCTTTCACTCGTAGCTCGGGCTGCGGGGGTGCTAGAGACGGGAGCACGTTGAAACGACATTCCTAGCCGGAGATATGTTGACTTCAATAACA